AAATATGATATGTGGTAGCATATTAGCAAGTCATGCTATTTAATAATAAAAAACTTTAAAAATATTATAATGTTTGGGTATGAGGAAAAAAGACTAATTTTGTTCGAAGATTTACATAAGACAATCCTCTTGTTGATGTTTGATTCCAGATTTAACATCATGTGTTGTAGGATACCTTTCAAAATCTGTGCTTGTCTGTATTCCTGGATGTTGGGGATAAAAGAGGCACACTCTTCTCTGAGATCTGGGAGTTATGGTTTTTGCCCTGGAAGATCACACTGACTGCTCAGTTATATTTTTTTTTCTGAAGATGTAATGCTGTTTGCTAAGTTTCACAACTCTTTTTAACAATCACTCCAAACTCTTTGGGCCCCCACCTTGCACTCAGGCTGATCCCTGACCACAGAAGTTGAGCCATTGTGACTGCTGCCCTGTGACCCTGGCCTTGTGCTGGTGTTTCTTTACATTTTGATAATTTCATGATTGTTTAACTCACACACAACTTCCATCAGAAATGTCTAGGTAAGGAAGAGCACTAGATTTCTGTGAGGGTAAAAATCCACTCTGGGGTGGAAAAATGCACTCTGAATGCTGCTGCTCTGCTGAGGGTTGGGCGGATGCAGAGCAGAATGGAGACTGTGTATGGATTGCACATAATGCCATAGAAGGCATGTGAGATGGACCATGGGTGAACTGAGGTTCCAGGCAAAACTACTGAGTTTTAGATCATGCTGTTCCCCTCTCTGGCTCTGGGGACAAAGCTCTTTGTGCAAGGAATTTAAGAACATAGAGGGAAAGCAAAGGAGAGGAATTATCTTTGATACTACATGGCTCCCAGCAAATCATTTTACTTGAAGTTATTACTGTTTGTTGGAAAGACCTACTTTTGGGAATCTTAAAGCTATAATCAGAGGAGCATCTGAATTGTTCTAATTTTTTTCTGTAGCTTGTATGGAGATTAAGCATATTTACTCTATGATTAAATTTAAAGTTTTGAACTGGTTTGATATAAAACCAATTTATAAATATCAACAATATGTCTATAGTTGATGAAAAAATACTAAATTCAAGCTAGTTTGAAAAGAATGCAATTTTCTTGTGGAAATCAATGGAATGGAGCTTCTCTTTTAACTTCGGTTTTCTCTGTCTGCAGAGATATGTAAAAATTTCTAAAAAGAAACATGATGGTAAGTTAAAAAAAATAATGGATAAAAACTTACTGATGAGAATTTTGATCATTAAGGAGAATTTTTCTTAGTCAAGGTCTTGTTCTATCAAGTGTTGGCTTTGCTGTGTTTTATTGAATCATGGGGCAACCACCATATGTCCCTGAGTTTCATACCCTTTATATATCTAGAATAATCATCCTCCCACCTACTTGCCTAACAGTTTGCCAGAGATGCTCTGCTTTATGTAAATATAATACTTTGTATTATACTTCACATTTAATGTAAATAACGTAACTTGCTGTGTACTAACACATAGAGAGAGTCAGATTGACATTTTATAGCCTGGATAAATAACTCATACTAAGAACCCTACTAAAGGCAGCATCTGCTATCCATGTGAATAACTTCTGTACAACTTGGCCATTTTTCTAACACTTGTACATGGCATATGTCAGAGTACCAGGAGCTCATATGAGTATTTTTTGAAAGACCTTATGATGAATATTGACTTGTAGATGTTTTCTGCTGAGCTAATACATAACAGATCACCATCTATGCATACCTACTAGTACTATAAACCACCTAAGGATTTTTGGTTTAGATCTCTTGTGTGTTGTTGTGGGGATCAGTGATTTTTGGCTTCAGAACCTGTCTCAGTCACAGGTTTTTTTTTGAGATTGTTTTTCAGAAAAAAAAAGGGGTTTGTGCATTGTTTTCTCATTAGTGAAGTTGTTGGCATATTTATCTGAAGCTGAAAGTTTTAGTAATGTAGTCAATCAGTGATTATATGTTAATTACAGAGGTGTAGGAATGCTAAATTGGTTTATCCACAAATATAAAAGGATGAGACTGTATAATGGGCATTCACTGGTACAACAGCAAGACAGTCTTATAAATTAAGATCTCAATTTCAAAGTATTTAGAAATTAAATAGGTATTCTCTTTTATTTTTCCCTGAAAATAATTGTCACAGGCATCACAATGATTAGTGTTTTCATAAGAAAAATATTAATTACTTAAAAGAATGTGCTGGTTCCTTACTAGACCTTCCAATCATTCTTTCTAGTTTACACAGTCTGTTACTCTAGAGGATGAAATCCAGAAGTCTGCATTCAGTATTTATGCAGTTTCAATTGAAATCAAATCCCCAGCAGCTTCAGTAGGACTTTTACCTAAACCAATTTCTGAATAAGCACTTCAGAATCTGGACCCTAGTGGAAATATGTAATCTGAATTTAAAAAGAATTGCTCTGAGTATACAAAAAACTATAAAGTTCAGCAGCTGAAGAAGAGAATTCACAGCATCCTAGGTTTTAAATTATTAATTCCTATGAATTTGTTATCCTCTACTTTCCTTCAAAACTTTTTATTGCAAAAGAAATTATCCTTGTTGGTGTTGGGTTTCTGTCAGAGATGCTTGAAGTGCTCTTCCCCAGCAGGTGGGTCTGGTTACTCTCTGCTAACCCATCCCCTGCTCATGCCACACAGCCCCAGAGAACCCCAGGTCAGCTGGAGTTCCTTGAATTGGATGAAGGACTCATCCAGGAATAAGGGCTCGTGCTTATGAGCTGGCACAGAGCCAGGGCTCCTCTGTGCGCCTCAGGTGAAGGCTCTGTTTGGATGCATTCAAACTTTAAATAGTAAACTTGAATAGTAAAAATTATGATATTATTGGACTATATGCAATGCTCCTGTATTTATTGTTACCTGCAATATTTCATGTCTATTTAAAGGTAGGATTCAATATTTGATCTTATCTAAGGCTAAGCAAGAAGGGAATTGCACAATATGCACATTTCATCAGCCTTTTTTATCTTCCCTGGTTTCCATATTTTCAAGCAGCAGTGATTTGGCTAGAAAAATATTCCTTTGTGTGAATGACTTTTCCCACAGTAGTCTAAAATAAGACCAGATTAATATGGAATTTCCTAGCTTTTTTGATTTTTTTGGCTCTGACAGTATTCAGTATTGGCAATACAGCCCTTGTCCAGCTAGGTGACAGACTTAATATGGGTGACACATTTATATAGAGCCCTATCTGGGTAACCAAGTTACTGATTTGATAATTTAATGGTATCCAAAGAATATCTTTCCTTTCTTTGCTGCCTTATGGGAGCATGTTCTCTCTCAGGATAACTGCCTCATGAAGGTCCAGCCTTTTCCCAAAGTTAGGGAAGAGAAATGCCAGAAGACAAATGAAGTTAGCAAATATCTCTGATTTATGTGGTATGTTGGTTTCGCTCTCTATAAATTTCTAGATATGTCAGTGTTGGAACAAGGGAGTAGTTCAGAGTATATTATGTAAATAAAAAAGATCAAGATCATCAAGGAAAACTTTATTTGATCAAACATTTTGGAAGAAACACTATTGAATATGGTAATGCTCTCATTTTCCTTTGTGTGCACTTTGTTTGCATTTCATGGGACTTGGAATACTGAATTCTGCATTCATATGAGCTGGAATGGGTGATAAAGTAGAGTAGTGAATACTATCAGTATTTGGCATTTGGAAAACAAAATATGTGTTTTGGTTCAAGTATAAGTGTGACTTGATATATTTGTTTCCTACTTCTGTAAGTGTAGCTCACCACATTCTTTTTTCAACAGAACTCATTGTCACAAGTTCTGAATCCCAACTCCTAAAGACTTTGGTTTAATGGATTCAGATGCTTTTGGTTTAGAGAAATAAGTCTTGCAAAAAGTTGTTTTACAGGAACCTAGTGGAATAATAAATGAAAAAATGGACACAATAGTAGGATGAGCACAGCCTGTGTATATTTAAGAATTTGGGTCTAAACCTGTTACTGAAGATAACAAACTTCAAAGTGAGTATGCTGTATTATCCAGGGAGCCATATGGTGCTAAAAACTTTGTTGCTTGGATCAGTCTACCACTCAGATGGCAGACAAGTAAGAAAATGGGACTTGATCATTGGTGAAGTTAGTGAAAGGTCTGACACTGAGTTTGATCAGAAAATACAGGACCTTTGCTCCCTGCCTGATACTTTCTACAAAACCTCTGTATTTTGAAAAGTCTCATACTGAGACTTGAAATCTTTGAAAATGTATATACATTTAGAGAAGTAAGAAATTATAAACATATGAGAAAATGGAAAGGAAACCCCCCACAAAATTAGAATAGTCTCTGAGGGCATGAGGGAAAGGCCTTTATTTCTAGCCAACTATTATGTTTTATCTTATGATGTTCTTAGTAGTTCTTTTAATCCCCTTGGTCTTAAATGGTATCAGTAATACAATATACAATCATCCAATGCACATTAGAAAGCTGTAAAAAAATAACTGCCTTCTTCAAACATTTTCTAATAAATTTAGGTCTGTTCTCCATTCCTTAGTACAAATAAAACAGGGGAAGATAGGTTTTCAAAAAAAAGTAATTTTTCAAAATCAGTTGTTGAATTGAATTTCCTCTTTTCTATAGTCAGGTGATAAAATCAGATTAGTCTGTGTGGGTTTCTCTTTCAGCAGCATAGGGAATCCTCCATAATGACCCAAGCAGTTAATGAGCACTGACAGTTTCTTGTGCCATTCCTTCTGAACACCATTTTTTTCTGTACTGGAATCAGTAAAAAAAACCTTTGAAATAGAGAAGAGAAGCACAAGAACTGGAAATTTACTGGTCATTTTTCATTAGCTATTTCTCTGCAGTATGGAATAGCATCACATGATGACCAAAAACTACCTAAAGCCTGTCTGGTAGGCAATATGGGTGCTACAAAATCCAAGCAGTTAGTGTACTGAGGGAGAATTTGATCCAAAATAGGAAGGTATTGCATGAATTCTTAAAATCATACTTTTCTCTTTTTTTCTATAGGTAGGCTGGGGATATTTTTAAAATCCTCCCACCAACCTGCCAAATCACAGGATGGAGTTACTCAGTGTCTCCTTTCCATTGAATGTTTTGCCACATGCAAACTTTCCTCTTCTGTCTCAGTGTACTGTGTTTTGCTAGGCTTACTTGCAAAGGTAGGTATTTTGCTAACATATGAAACTGCAAGGAAACTTAATCATATAAATGACAGAGTTCAGAGTCACAGGTCTAATGTCTTTGTCTAGGGGTACATTTCTTATCATGGTGTGGTGTGATAATGATAGGAATTGCTTTTTATTGTTTTGTTCCCTGCAAATTCAGCTCAAAGAAAACTAACTTGTAAAGGTTCTAATTATAATGGATTTTTTTTTCTCCTAATTTTCTGTGGATTAGAACCAAACTGAATTATAATATCTCTGATTTCTTTTCTTTGCATTAGGAGTAGGGGAAGGTTAAATGTATCCAAAAGCATTTTCTCTGTGGAAAGAAGCTACCACAGAGTGAATTGCAGCTGCAAATGTGTGGCACCAAAAGCCCTTTCATCCTGACTCACAGCTTCAGTGTCAATAGCTGTTATCCCTGGATTAGTAGTTTGCAGTTCATGTCAAAAAGCACCTAACATGTTGCTGGAACCATGAAATAGATCAAGTTATAATGAAGATTACTGCTAGTCTACAAAGTTCCTTAATCTGGCTATATTAATAATTGCTTTGAATCCAGGTGATTTTGTCAGAAGAAAACAATCTCAGTGTAGATGTTTAAGGGGACAATGAAGGAGATGAGGCTGTTTGGGTATGACAGAGTACCAGTTGTAAAGTTTTGCCTACTTTGCTTACTTTGAAATGCCAGCAGATTGACTTAATTCTGAACTTGTTATTATTGGGTCTCTTTCTGCTGATTTCAATAATCTTACCTTGAAGTAATAAAAAACTCTCTCCAAAGCAAAACAGAAAAAGCCAATCAAAACCTGTAAAAGCAAGTATGCATGGTTTTTTGTTTTTTGTTGGTTTTTTTTTTTTTTTGAAAAGGTTAACTAGGAAGCTTTGGTATTTATTAAAGAAAATATATAGGTAGGATATTTCATCATTGGTTTTTTGGGGGGGCTCAAAGTTTTTTTCATAACTTCTGCTGAAGAACTGGGCTGTAAAATTTCCTTGTTTAATGACTGGACAAATACTAAATAACTCTACTCATAATTTTATTTCATTGAAATTTTATTCTTATATTCTCTTAGGACAATTTCAGATATCACTACTCGCTTTCATGAGGCTAAAATATTTCCTGGGTGATACTGCAGGCCACAGTGGTTTGATGTATTTCAGTTCCATTTCAATATTACAGGAACCCTCCTTGGGCTGTTCTACCCTGTACCCTCCAATCTTAAATGAAACTTTTCCAGCTCCACTAAAGACATAGAATTTAAATGAATCCTAGAAAACATTAAATAAGAGTTCATATTTTCCCCCATTAGTTTGTGTTGGATGAATAAGAGGTTCTGTATCTTGTATCAAGGCAGGCCTATCTGTATAATCCTGTAGTTTGATCTGAGCCCACAGCAAAGGGAAGTGGCACATGCTGGGCACTGTTTTATGCTCATGGTAATCTCACTGTGACACATTTACTTTAATCTGTCAATGACTTGTGTTTGACACAGACTTGAATCAATGCTACCAGAATTAAAAGAATAGGAAAAGCTTTTATTTTTAAAATAGACATGCAAAACAGGCAGAGTTGAATGCCTCTAGCCAAGACAATATCTCAAAGAATGTTCTGTGAGATAGACCCAAAGATCAGGTGCTCTTGCCATGAAGGAGAGAAACTTTTTTTAGAAAAACTATATACATAAATCCAGAAAAACTAAACAAAAAAAAAAGCCATTTATTCTCCTCCCTCTAGAATGAGATCTGCAGTAAAAGATTATTAGGTTTGCATGCAATAGCCATAACCAGACTGAGGCATGACGAATTAATGCAAAGGCAATTTCTGTAGCTATCACTAAACAATGCAAAGATGCCAGATAGACACAGCAGAGATGTGTCTTTTGTTTCAGAAAGAGAAGCCTGGTGCCTGAGACAAAGCGTCAAATGAGTCTCATGCTGCTGCTGCTGTAGTGGTCTGGCCAAATTTGTGACATCTCCTTCTCTAAGGGATGATGTTGGAAGCCTTGTAGGTTTCAGATCTACTTCATATTAGTAACTGAGAGGGTCTGTGTTGGTCCCACAGATGTTTAGATGGCTACTCTGGGCAGTATTCATAGGAGAGAGGGGGATTTACATGTGTCTCCCAGCCAGGGAACTCCTGGGAACTCATTTTTCCTTTTAACTAGATAAAACCAAGAACATATTTATCAGCATGTTATGGTTGTGCCCATAAAACTGACACAGGAAGCTGGCCTGCTTGGTCATCAGTTGAATGTTTACTGAGATAAATCCTACATAGTGACTGTTGACTTGTATTGGGACAAATATCCAAGTGAAGCTAGGGCAAATTTCCCTTGGAGAGCAGGTTCTGACTTTTGTGTGTTTTGCTTTGGAGAAATATTGGTTGGTGGTATTTATGCAAAGACTTATTTTGAAGTTTCATTAGAATCTGAAAAAAACCCCCAAAAAATAACTGTCCCCCACATTTTAACTAGAGAAAAAAGATCTTTAACTTCCAGAAGCAAATTATCATTTTAATTCTCTTGCTTCCCTATTTTCTTGTCAAGGTTAAAAGAATGGAGTGTACTGGAGTCAGGAAAGCTCAGTGTCTGTTGGAGGTGAAGTCACCAGCATTGCATTTCTCCACCAGTCACAACTGATAAGTTCAAAACCACATCAGGTGAGTTTATTGTACCCTTGACTTGAAATGTGAAAGTCAATTCATGTGCAATCACATATCCCTGTAAAACCTCTTCCTTGTCAAATCACATGTCACTAATGAGTTTTTAACTGTGAGCTTGGCTATTTAAATTGTCAAATTTCTTCTGCATTCATATGGTACAAACAGATAGATAAAAATACCAATGTTATGGTCAGTTCTGCATTTTAGGTAAAAAAGTGCATATAATTTTCTTTTTTACTCAAAAAGTATTGCTAGCAAATCAAAATACAAAACACAAGCAAACAGAAGAGGGAATATTTGAACAAGTACATGCAAAATAATTATTCAGCACTGCAAACTAGTCTTTTGCAAAGCTTTAAATAATATATGTACAGAGATTAGAAATCCCTGCAAGGAAGTTTTTAATTTTTTCCTGTATGCTTCTCTCCAATATTTTCTTTGAAGCTCACATGGCATATCTTTTAGCCTAATTCAAAATGATGTTTTTACATCAAAAACTGCAGCCAAGCCAATACTTTTCCTTCAACTGGTTGTTCAAAGGGGAAAGAATTGTTAAAATTTGTTTTTTAAAAGCATTCTGCTTTGTGTTAGTCAACGTGCAATCTCTTTCTCTCTCCTTTTCTCTTCTCCTTTTCTTTTCTGTCTTGTTTTGGAAATAAACACCTGTCCATGCAATAGATAATTTTTAAAAGATATCTCTGTATTTCTTCAAATGTTGCATTCGTTGAAAATATTTTTGCTCTAAAACATGATAAAGAAACAGATCCTTTTCTTTAGGTAATGGATGGCCATAGTGGTTAAAAATGCAACAATTCTTCATTGGAAAGTACTAGTAAATGACACAAATTTTTGTGTTACAAAATTCTTTAGCTGAATTACAAAGTATGTGAAAGAAAGTGCAGAATGATCAGGGGTTAGAAACAAAACTAGAAAAACAAAGGTATAAAGACATACTATATTAAGCCCTGCGGCAGTGCACCTTATTTATACAACAGAGAATGTCTACAGAATAAGCAACCAGCACAACAGAGGTATGACTAATAGATAGGTATGAATCAGTGGATTTGTATTCTCCTCACACATCCCTCTTCCCAAAAGCAGAGAAAATGAAAGAAACCCCCTCCTGCGCTTTCTCACACATTCATCCTTTTCAAACCTGATGCTCACAGTTATGATAGTTAAATTTTAGCTTTGGGCAGCCCAGGGTACTAATCTTGCATGACCCGTTCCAAATGAAATCATGCCCTTATGACTCATTTGCTTTCCCTGTCTAATTTTTTTTTTTTTCTCTTTAAGGATCCTGTATCCAAGGATTCTTTCTATCAAAATAATAATAATTAAAAAACCCCTAGAATCTCTCTTGTTGCTATAGATTTAAATACGAAGAGGAAGAACATGGGTTTTGATATCGTGGAATCTGGATTACTTCTAGATCACAGTTTTCCAGCTTCAATTTAGTTGCATGGAAGGAGATTTTCTTAATATCAGGTTTATAACTACCCCTGAGTGCCAATAAATCAATATCTAATTGCAGTGCTGTTAAAATCAATTGATAAATTTGTTTTTATGGTTCTTATAGGGAGGTAACTACTAAGAATAGAAAGTACTATCTCTGCCATGATAAATCACCCCCAGGAAAACCAGCTTATCCCAGCTCAGGGTGGCCACAAAACCAACATTCCAGTAAGTGGCTTTGTCTCTAAGAATATCCCAGCTGTTTTATCACTAATTATTAATTTAAATTCAGATCTTCCAGGGTTTTTTTACAAATGTAGTGCTTATGGATTACTTGGAGGTACATGTATGGGTTTCAGCCTTTCACAATACCTCCTCACAAAAAAAAAAAAAAAGTATTTTTTTGTTCTAGAAGATATATATCACTATAACTGGTTTGTGCCTTAAATGTGCTTTTCTGTGCAGCTGGGGTTTGAGAAGGATTCCAGTGATTCATTGGCCTTGTCCTGGGTCTCGTGCAATAGCACATTAACCTTGGTGGAATATGTTAAAAGAACAGGGTCTTGACCTTGCAAACACTGCTGCATGTGCCAAGCTTCCCCTGCGGGACTCCCTGCAGCTCCCCTGGAAAATGCCTAACACCATATACGGGAGTATTGATTTTGCAGGGGGAATAATGTTAGGATACAAACCATACTCTGCTACTTATCCTGCCTTTCCAATGTAATACAAAAGCCCTGCAATCTGCTTTCAGCTGTGATTGGAGATAGCAGATGAATACAGGGGGCTTCTGTAAAGGATTGTTGGTTTAACCCAACCTCCTCATGCTTAGCTGTTCTTGTTTGCCTCTGTAATTAATGACAAAGTGTTTTTCTTATGTTTCTTATCTATGGTTGGGTAACTCCAGACACAAATGCCAGATCTGATGAACCTGAAAGGGAAAGTAGGTGGGAGCAAATTTTCCAAGAGCGTTATTCTAGTTGACAGGTCTGCCTCTTGTGACATTAATAATGCTTCACAAATGTTGATATAAATCAAGATAAAGCCAGAAGCAAACCATAGGCAGGATGGGGAGCCTTGGCTCTGCAGTTTTAGCATCCCCAGAGCTGATAGAAAGACTGCAGTTTTCAGCTGTGAGTACCTTCCTTCTTATTCCAGGAGCTTGTACAATACATCTGCCTATATATATGAATCAGGCATCCCCAGGGCCAAATCAGCAAACTTGATTGAACAGTGGATCCAAAATACAGTGGCTAAAAAAAAAAAAAGTCTTTTCATGCACTTTGGTGGGCTCAATCTCTGGCTACTTCTGTGACTTTGCAGGTCCATATTTCTGGAGCACTTTGGTATCAAAATACCAACTTGGTACTCCAGTCCTTATGTAAGAAGGCACATCTTAAATTTACAGAAATAAGAAGGTAGCTGGCAATCTTTCAGAGTTTATGTGCAAAATAAGTTGGTTATAGGCCTTATGCTGCTGCTGGAAGTAAGGACAAATATTAGTTCCTCTTGGTGCTGCAGAGCCCCTCTCTAGCTTTTGTTTGTGGTGAAGTGCTCCGTCTGAGATTAGTAAAGAACAGGGCAATGTACAAAGTACACAGGAGAGGAATGAGCCTGGAGCCAAGGTAAGTGTTTGCAGTGTTGTGTTAGAGTCCCTGCCTAATAATGAGGTGCCTTTTGGAAGTGAAGGGCGTTACCTCTCCTGAATGTAGAATTCTGTTCCTAAAATATGTCTTTTAACACCTGCAGCTGCTGATTCTGCTTTTCTGCTGCTGTATGGTTAAGACAGCAAACACCAGAGGATAATATTTTGGCAGGAACTACTCTGTCTGCATTTTTTCTTCCATGGAAGATGCACGAAGGTCAAAAGATTTCAAGGGAGGTTTTGTGAACAAGAGAGCTGCATGTTCTGTAGTGGAAGGTGGATACCACAGCAGCATTTTAAGAAATTGGCATTGTTTCATTTTTCTGTGGGTCTTCTTGCAAAGCCTTGTCTTCCACTAATGTGTGGAGCTCTTTCTTGACAAAGAAAATTTTTAACTCTAAAGCCATTTATTTGTCCATCTGGATGAGTAGTCGAACTCTGCTCACTTAACCTCCTGCCCAGCCTCTCTCTCTCCACTCTCTCTTTCTGACTGGTCTCAGAGTCTTTTCTCACTTAAGCTCCTTTGCAAATGGAGAGAAAGCTCTTCCTTGCTTTTTTATCATTCCTGACAGCTTTTACTCCTGGAATCTGTGTCCAAACTGTTTCCCAACACCTGCCTCAGTCCCTCCTTTACCTTGCTAAAGCCTCCATTAAAGCAGTATGTATCTCTAAGCAAAGGCATGATCTTTTCAATTAACAATGAAATTTGATCTAAGTTCTAGGGCAGTAATTCCCTCTTTGATGTATTTGTTGTCTACATTATTTGGGTATCTGTACCAAAGAGGGATGTTGCTCCAAATCTGAACTAAGCATAGTAAATGCATGAAAAAAAATGTCCTTGAACTAGACCTTGAACTTCCCAGGAAACCTTCATTTACTTCCATCAAGGTATAGGGAAAAAGCAATTAAATGGTTTAACATTTGCACTGTCTGCTGAACTGCAGTTGCTGAGTTTAATGCAGCATTTGCAGCTAGCAGAGTAAATCAGCTGTGCAGCAGGTTGAGGTTCTGATTATAATAAGATAGGACAATACCCTACCTGTAAGACATGAAGCCACATCTCCAACAATGTGATAATACTGAGACAGAGAAAAAGGGAAAAAAACAATTAAATCCCTCTGTCCTTGAGGAAAATGGACCTTGTGGAGACCTTGGAAATCTATTTGCCTATTCGGCAGTAAAGCAAGAGCACAACCCTTGTTGACTCTTTCTGGGCAAGATTTCTGATCACAGCTATTACAGAATGCTGGAACTCTGTGGCATGGAAACTTCTCTCCATGTCCATGTCTCTCTTGACGGACGTGGAAACATTTGAACATTGGAAATATTGCCCTTAAAACACTTCCTAGATTTATGATCTTTAGTACATTTTTCTGACATTACCAGAGTTAAAATTTGTGGTTTTCAGATGTGAGCAAATTTCTCCTACATTCTTGAGTTCCAACCAAGTTCCCTGTAATTTTGGTTTACCTTCATCAGGTCTTTAAGATTCCAGGGAACAGACTATGACCATTTGAAAAAAGGGTTTCGCTTCATTTGGAGTTGTCTACCAAACTATGACTGTCTCTGTTCCCCTAACTATTACTTCAATCCTCACTTGAAAGAATTTGCAACTTTTTGTTGCGCATGTTACAATGTAAAATTGTCTTTTGCATGCAATCTTTGAACATTTCACTGTTTTATATTATTAATTTACTTTCTTTTTCTTTAAATGTAAATAAACCCCAACAACAACATCAGATGATGGATTCTCTTCATTTATATAACCTTGACTTTACCAGGTGCATTTATCCCAGAAAGGCCTGGCAAGCCCGAGGGTTCTCATTTTTCTTGTAATCTCCTTTCATTGGCATCTAAAGTGGCATTAAGTATACAGACATTTTGACCTTGAAGTCTTCTCAATAGAAAAGCAAGACCCCTTAAATAATAAAAGAGGCAGTTCATACTTTTATGGTTTTAAAATAAGATCCCATTTATTTTCAAATGCTGTGATGATTTTTCGGTGTCTACATTTACTGACTCTTTGGAGACTTAGAAGTTTGTTTCTTTCATCTCCTGAAAACACAACTAAAGTCTAGAAGGGATCTAGATTTTTAAAAAAATGCAGCCCATTTTCATTTCTGGAAATGCTAGTTTTCGTTCACCATCCATACCCTTTCATTCTTTCTATAATAACCCGTCCTCTTTTTCCTATTACTTTTTTTCCTTTTTCCTGACAAAATGCTTTGTGTTTCATATTGTCATTTTCCATTTTGACTAAAGATCCTCTAGCATTTTGGATATTCAGTATTAATCCTTAAATGCTCACTGCACAGACTTCATAAATACTATATTAGCTTTCTCTTTAACAAAAAGACCCAAAATGCCCTATTTTTATTAAGAGTACAGTGATGAAAACTCACGTAATTTACTTTTGGTACCGTCTCTCATTAAGAGAAATGGAAAGCTGATTTTATAGTCTGAATTGGTACCTTGATAATATAATAGCATATGTCTCATTGACAGAACACAATAAAATATATTTCATTGATACAACACCCCAGTTTCATTTTAATAAGTAAAGAGTTCGCAGTATTCCAGACAATTCATTCTGTGATCAAAGTGTTGGCAGAGACTTAAAAAACGTTGCCTGCTGGACATATTCTCCTGCATTTCTCTATGGCACATAAAGCATTTAGGACTAATTACCACTGTCACCTTTAGAAACCATTGAAAAATTGGAAAAATTCAGACACCACCATTGTGGCTGTGTGGCCATGGTGTCTGCAGGGCCAGGGAGCAGCAGTCTGTGTCTCTTTGGGATGGCTCCATGTCTGCCACGAGAATGGCCTCTCCAGTGGCAAGCTCAGCATCTCAGGTGCCTCTTCTGGGAGGGCTGCAGCTTAGAAAGGACTCATTGCTTTTACAAGGGACTGAAATTTCTGGTGGTTTTGGGCATAGCAGATAGTGTACACTGACAAGAGGATACACAAGGATGGGGTGGGGGTTTGTGGGGCTTGCAAGGTTGTATTTTAGATATTAGTAGCACTTTGGGAGCCATTATTTTGACGTAGGAAACTTTTCTTCAGTGAACCTTCTGCTGAAGCAAGCTCTGTGCCAGGTTACCACTGAGTGAGTTTACTAACCCTTGAAAAGTGAGGATGGCACAGCTCAGTGGCCCGTGTAAGCTTCTTGTCCCTTAAATGCCAGTGTATGAGAATTTTATATTCTCCCTCTATGCTTCTCTTTTTCACACTCAGTTGTTCATTCTTTGCATTCTCAACTTTGTTTTAATCCTATTTCTCACTGGAGTTTTTCTCTGCTCCCTCACTGATCCTTCATTTGTAGTCTCTCCTAAGCAGAATAACAATCAAGTGACATTCAATTTTGTACCAGCCCTTTCAAAACAGCGGGATTTGAAATTAAAGAGCTTGAATATCCCATCTACAAATCTGTACACAGATGTGTTGTGGATAAATCAAAATTAAAATATTCGGGGAATTCTTTTTAAAATTGCAGCTTACATATGAATTTACAAGGATAGTCCTTAGCCTTGAAAAAACCTTCACTGGAATTAAAATTGTGCAGTGGACTAATCCCACTAGAAGACGTCCTGCAGATACTAGATAATTTTTAATGTAGGATAAAACTGCAGAGATTGCATGTTTACTCTGTGTTGTAAAATTATGTATAATTATATTGTTTGTCCATGTTTTTGTATTTCTGTTAGTTATATATATATGTGAAGACTAATAGGACAGGAATTTGTGCGCATAGAATTCAATTCCACATACCACCACAGACAAATTCACTGTCTCCAAACTATCGACGCATTCTTCTTCAGCAAATAAATAGACATGTGGTTAAGTCCTTCAATTCCTTTGAAAAGCAGACTTCTAAGCACATGCTTATGTCCTCTGCTATAGATAAAAGTAGTTTATGGTCTGAATTAAGATGTATGGGCATAATCCCTTACCATGGAAAATTTAATTGTTGAATGTAGCATCACACAAATGATAATGTCTGAAAGCCTGTAAATTCATTTAGCATTCCCTAGTAAAAAGTTTTAGGTGCATAAAGCTTCATCTACAGTGCTAAAAAATATTACAACATGCTCATGTCAAAATCAAGTGCAAAAGTTTTATACAAAGTCAGATATCTCATCTAGTGTGTCTAATAGCTCTGAATGTGTGCATGTTTTATGAGTTATAGGTACAATAATTCTGGCTTATTTCACTTGTATAATGCTACGTTTGTGAGCTGAAGGCCTGGATTCTGTGGTGCATGTAGTCAGACCCAGGTAAATTCTGAGAAATGCTTTATCCAGAGTCATCTTCTCTAGATGATTCTTTTGCATTAAAGCTACTTTCACAGTGATGTCTTCAGATAAAAGTTTTGAAACAGCCATTCAGATTATCATATGAAACAACTCATGCAATTTCATCTTCTCACACAAGGCTTAAATTTATCTTGAAAGACACAGTTAATTCTTAATGATTTTTATCCAGAAGCAGCCAAATTATTAGAACAAAAGCTGGTATTAGCCCCAGGAACAAATGACATCAATTGAAATTTACTTTTTTTGTTCAAGGTGATTGATGTAATTTTGTATTAAAGTGACCTTTGTTAGAAATGTTTTGACTACAATGATTTCCTGTCCTTTTTGCTCAGCAACCAGAACAGCAGAACTGGCATCAGCCTGTTTCAGCTGCTTCCCCCAATGCTTGAAGGGAAGCAAGCTGCACTGAATGCCTGCTTGAAGGATGGGCAGAGCTGAGGGTCAGCACCAACTAGCCATGGAAATGTAAAATGCCAGCCTGAGAGGGTAGGAAGGAACCAGACCTGGGCCTCACACCACTAAAGGTACAGTTTTACGACAGTCGCACTTTATGGCAACTTTTACGACAGTTGCGCTTTACGGCAGCTTTACGGCAGTCGCGCTTTACGGCAGCTTTAAGACAGTCACGCTTTACGGCAGCTTTACGACAGCCGCGCTTTACGGCCGTCTTTACGACAGTCGCGCTTTACGGCAGCTTTACGACAGTCGCGCTTTACGGCCGTCTTTACGACAGTCACGCTTTACGGCAGTTTTACGACAGTCGCGCTTTACGGCAGCTTTGCGGCAGTCGCACTTTACAACCCTTTTTTTTAAGTGACACTCATGCATTATCGCAGATTTGCGACAGTCGTGCTTTACGGCAGATTCTGGAGATACACAGAATTAAGGCTTGGCATGTGTTTCTTAAAGCTGATCCTGTGACAACTTGAGCAGCTGCTGCTGATCCTGTGAGGCTTTTGACAGTTTGAGTAACTTCTGGAGTACCTAGACTTTTACAGTAGGAGAGTGTTGGTACGTCTGGGAATTGAGGTTAGATGCTCTCCAGAAGTTCCCCTTGCCTTTCCCCTGGAAAAAATGAGTTTATCAACTAATAAGTTTTGTTTCGTCTGCTTCCAGGCAGCTACCCTTCCATTAAATAGCACTTAGTGCACAAGCCATCCTTCTGTTTTCAGTGGGGTTACTCACTTCACACAGGGAGAGTGATGGGATCGGCATCTGAATTGCCCCACCACCTGGTTGTTGTGACATTAGTTCTTATTGGCTTGGGTTTACCCACAACTTCCAGTTATAAAAAAATGAAACCAAACCATAAACCACAAGCAAATAAAAATCCCCCCCTCAAAAAAGTGGAAAAGTAATGAGAATTGTGGATTATTGATGTCTTTCTCATATTATGTTTGACTTTTTTGTAATGCAAGCCTACCCACACTACTCTTATATTTATGAATTCACATGCTAGGCAGTCTTGTAATGATTTTTTTTTTGGTAACAGCAAGTCCAACCCGTTCTCTTTGTATTTATTTTGTACACTGGCTTATCAATAAATCATTCAAATGATCTTAGTCATCTACTGCAACATGAAGAAGCTATTCTTTGTTTCTGTCAAATCTGCTTCTGAAGTTATCTGTTCACAGGTACATGAATATTTATACAGATGACATTTTCAAGGCATTTTTGGCCCTAGTTTCCTAATGGAGAATAATATTTCCATTTAAATGAACTTTTATTGTTTTAATTTTCTATGAAACATTATCACTGCACATAAACTAATGCTTTGTTCACTCGTTTTGATCCCTAATAATCTAATCATATGCAAAAAATTATAAGCGAGCTATAAACACTGGTGAATCAGATTTAATACGGTGTTCTTAGCTGCTAATTGCCTTCTTGAATTGAAATCTGAAGATTCATGCAGGTTGTTTTTAAGGAAAGTCATATTAGGTATGTGAATATATTCTTTAATGATGTCAGTAAAGAGGAAGAAGGCGTTGAGCTATGTTCTTAATACTGATGCTGCCAGTGCCCACAGCTCAAGATTCACCCAATTTTTGCATTACGCATGGAGAAAAATATCATGGACTTTGCATTAAGGTGCTGGGTCTGACCACATTCCTTTTTTATCACCTCAGGTTCTCACTGGGAAAGGGCTGTAACAAACATTGCACTGGGATCTGGTGAAATGTGTCATACTTGATCAGTTTTCTGTGAAATGTGCAGAGGTCTCTGCACAGGAATGGCACTTTGGAAGTTATAACATATTTCAAATAAGTGTTCTTTTCAAAGGAAATCTTTAACAAGGTACTGTTGGGATGTTATCCATTCGCTGCAGCATCCTTAAACTCCATGCTCAGGGTCATCTTCAAAAACTGAATTTGTGAGTAAGCATGAAAAAGATTTGTCAAGCTGCTGTCCACAAAGTACTCAACAACCTGTATGGTGAAAGGTGGAGGAAAAAACGCGATGCTTATAGCTTGAACATTTACTTACTTTTCAACTACCAATTTGTTTAAAAGGGGATTATGTTGTTTAAATAAAATAACATAAAATTAATATGAGACTCAGGAATTGTCCCATTTGATCATTGGACTATTACAGAGATAATATTTTGTATTGTATATACTAGATATATGGCTGGATCTACCTACGTATGTATCTTAGGAAAATGCCTACAAATAATCCAGTGGCTGAAATTGATGGGTCCCTTGTGTCGCAGGGCCTGTTGTGTGAACTCCCTGAAAGGAGCCTTTGTTTCCATAGGCAACAGAACTGCTGTGGCAATATGGATCAAACACATCCGGATTTACTTTTATGCTTCTGAGGTAAACAGTTGCCTGCTGCACTACATAAATACTGAAAGAAAAACTCTCTTTCAGTGAGAGACCTGAGCAGCATGAGCGGCAGGCTGCCGAAGAGAGCCTGGCGCAGGCAGCTCCTGGGGGAGCACCACATGTGCTGCCATTTTTGCCTTTCCTGCCATTTAGTGCTCCAACTTTTGTCTTGTGTATTTCACAGCTTAAAGACTAATAGAAAACGAATCTTTAATATGATCATTTTTCCTCCTCCCACATCCAGGTAGACTATGTTTTGGTTGTCTTGTCACAGTGGGGCTGGAGACAAAATTATCAAATGGTTCTGCTTTTGACTATTTGAATTGTAGAATTAACTGTACTTCCTGATCTTACCCAACCCAAACTGTTTGATACAGCTAAATGGAGAGTTTTAAAAGACAATGTAAATCTAGCTGGGTTTTGAAAGCATACCCTTCCATTTTAACCAGAGTGAATGAAATTAAAGCAACATATTATAAAAGGTGGCACAGGAAAAATGACCTTTACATTAAAAAAATGAGATGTCTTATGATTGTTGTTGTACAAGAAAAATTAACCACAAAGATCAAAGAGAAATATAAGCTACTGATAAGTTATGTCTGGGTTTGCTGAGTTTGCTTATCCATCTGATTAAAATTATGCTATTCCATGCAATCTATGTTTATTTTGTTTTGCACTTCCTATTTGTCTTGCTAATGCTTTTGTTCTCTAAAAGGCAGGTTTCCAGAGGTGCAAGCCACAGAGACCTGGTACACTCTGCTGATTCAGTGCAAGTGGAGGCTAATCCTGAGTTAAGTACACAAAGCTTTACAGATGTTGCAGTGAGAATTTTCTGATTGATTTTAATGGTATCCACTGTCACATTTCTGAAACCACTGTTACCCTGCAAATAATCAAACCCATGGAGTTTCTGTCTCTGTGATAGATTGAGACTCACAAAATATATTTGTACTGCTGCTAAAAATGCTCTTAGTGCTTACTTATGCATCTCAATGAAAAGTAAGTGCTCACCCTGTAGGCAGAAGTTTTTGAGAGTGTTCAGGGCATGGAAACTCTGCTGCCTCCCTCTTACAGGGTGGATCTGTGCAGTGACCAACTCGTGCCCCTGCAGAGGTGGCACCGGCGTCTCAGGTCCCCTGTGCTGAATGAGGCTCCTCCCTGCTGTCCCCAGGAGCCCCAGACTGTCCCTTCCTGGCCTTCCAGGGCTTCTCCTTCGGCATTCTGCTTCTGCTGGAGTAACTTCCCTTCAGAAAGGGAACATGGAACAGCCTTTTGGTCTGTGACTTTCTCTGTCATAAGAGGTCAAGTACTGAATATTTTTATCTCAGCTGCTCTTGTCATAGAAATACTCCTTGAATTCATATAAATGCCCTGTTTATTTGTTCTGATTAAGGCTACTGCATAAATTAATTATTGATAGAAAAGTTAAAAATGTCATTTTAAGGTAGAAATATGTAATAAATCACAAAGTGAATATGTGATAATCCCAAAGGGATGAGCACAGTCTTCATGGCAATGCATATTTTTTGAGTTCTGTGTTCTAGGTCTCTGCATCCTTTTTAGGTTAACATGAAAGCTTTTCAAGGTCAGCAGTGCCATAGAGGTAATGATGAGCCTGGGGAAGGCTTATGTTAAATGTGTCCTCAGTGTTCAGGTTAATCTTTTCATTTGTGATTTTTTTTCCCCATAAATGGATATGTGGAAAGACATTACCTGTGTCACAAAAGTAATTTTTATGTCTTTAAATATTATGGTGGTCTATTTTTCAAATGAGAGGTTATTTATGCATTAAAAACTGTGACTTTCATTAACAATCCCCTAACTTCAAGCACTTTATTTAGAAATATGTAAACTCTGGGTACTGCAAGGTTGAATAGATGTAAAAAAATGAAGGGATAAATAAAAATAGGGCAGCTTATCTGCACTTTTACATTTAATCCAAAATTGCATGTTATTTTATCTGACCCAAATAGGTGGAAACAATAAGTTAGTGAGTTGAACAGATTACCAGTGTCTTGAAAGTGGAGCTCAGTTTAGGTACTGCTGGGCTGAGCCCTGTAGTCTTTATCTGATCTTGTGAGCTCTGCCTGCAACCTTCACTTTCCATTTATTTTAGTGAGGTGTTGATTTTTGTTAGCATGCACAGCATTTGGTGTTATTTTGTGAAGATTTGCAATAGGTCATTGTTTGCCTAAACACTTTCAGCTACTAGGAAATAGTGTGTTGTTATTCTTTTCTCTGAGACTCTTGAGTCTTAAACAGCAGTCCAACTTGTTTCTTAGGATTTCCTTATTATAAGGATCCAGCTGTCATATATTTTCCTGTGCATGAAACTGAACATAAAAAGATAAAACAGTTTTTTGGGAAATACTCCTGGCCTGTTGTTATAGCAATAATATTTGTGCATTTGTTTGTGTATGACTGTCTAAATGCCTTGTCTTTCAAAACTTTCAAACCCACCGACTGGTGTCAAGTGATTTTGACAGAAGGGAAGTAGTCTCAAGGATAATTGAGTTCTCAGTAGCTTTGGAAAAATAGACCCCATAAGCATTTTGACTGAAGGAAGGACAGCAGTGAAAACTCACGTTTTGTGAGAGGTTGTAAATTCCCATACCAGAAGTAAAGCTCAAATTGGAGCTTAAATCATGAGATAGAAATCCACAGAAAACCAAGCTGCATTTATTTCAGACTTCACTGTTTCACTTTTGTTTTTAATAACATCTTATGGGATTTAGAGATCAAAAATTTTTTAATCTTTTGTATTTGTCATTATTTGCACTGTTTATTTAGCAAACTTATTGAAAGGAGATTATTTTTCTCTTTTTGCATTTTGTCAATGTAAAATGAAACATCAGTGTATGGGAGGTGCAAATCATTGTGTTTGCTGTTTAATTACTAATTTCTATCTATTTTGTGCTTTAACAACATTATTCCATGTTTCGTTCTTTCTTAGTGCAACAGCTATGTCATAGTCTTCTTTGAAAATTGAGTTGAAAAATCTGCAGCCAGTGAGGTGTGGAAGGTACTTCCCTTGTTGCCTCTGGGTCTTTGAATTGAAGAAATAATCCTGAACTGTTGTTTGTTTGCTACAGGCATCTTGCTTCCCTTAAGCATGCGATGGGATTTGACATCAGTGCTGTTTCTCCATGCTGATACTGTGATTAAACTCCCAAATTTGAGCAGGTACTTGAACATGCCAAGCAAATCCTTCCCCTTTTCTAGTCTTCCCCAACCAAAGGCCACTTTCATGCCCACTTCCCTGCAACACCTTTCGTATGCTGAGGAAGAAAGAACCCTGGAGAGAAGACATGGGAACCTGTGGTAATGTGCATTTTCTGGGACCGCTCGCTTTGGTGCAAAATTAAAAGTCTGTGCTCTTTTTTTTTCTAAAATTTCCTCTACATGTTAGATCTTGTCAAGGAGATAAGGGGGTCTGTGAATTCCTGCTTTCTTCTGTGTTTATTCTGGCAGGATGAGCTATGCAAAAGCAAGCACTCTGTCTGTAGTGTGCATACTGACAGTATCATTGTAGATGGAGACTGTGCTCTCTCTCTCTCAGTGATTATAATTGTGCTAAAAAATTATACCTGATAAATTATCCTGAAAGGTTATTGTGTAACCATATATTCCAAACAGTTTTTTAAAAACATTTTGCACTTGGCACAAACATTTGTTCAAAGTGAGTAGGAACTGAAAGCAAACAAGCAAAGACTTTAGGGTCTTGGAGTAACTAGCATGCCTATCATCTAAAAGTGACTGTCATGTCACACATCTGCTTTGTGATATGTCACTGCCTTTCTATAACATGCCACTTCCTAAGCACTGTGCTGAGTGACAGTCACTCACCTCACTGTCATGCACAGTCTTGTAGTACTGAAACCTTCTCAGGCAATGGTTAAAATTTGAAATTTGCTCCGTGTTTCCACAGTGAGTGGTGAAAGAGCAGGAAGAAAAGTATTAAAGGAAAAATGAGAATAAACTCCCACTTACTGGTTGCTTTCTCTTACCAGTTAATTCTAGTCCAGTAAGCACACATTTTCTGCCTGTTTTTACAATATTCTACCCATTGTCCTTTGGAAAGAGGCTGCCTATATTGGAGGCACTCAGGAGCTGGGCATTTTATAAATGTAAGTCAGGGTTCTGACAGATTATCTCTGACAGATTTAGATGCTGTGATAGAATGCTCAGACTTTACACCTTGCTTCTCAGCTAGAAGTAACCACCTGAAGAGCAAAGGCACCAGATTGGCTGTGCGATGAAGCTTATAGGCCAGTGGCAGGCCAGCTGACACTGCTTATGAAGGTAGTGCTCCCAAAGTGGGAACAAGCATCCCATTTTGTAGCACTGGGATGGAGATGGGTGGAGGCAACACTGTAGATCACAACAGGTAAATACCTGAAGGAAATGTAGCTCTTCTGCTGAATAGGGCAGGGGGTCTGATGGAGGATGTAGGAAAGGTCAAGATGCTCAGAACCTTTTGGCCTCAGTCTTTCCTGATAAGGCCGGCCTTCAGGAATGCTGAGCCAGCTGCTGCTTTACCCCCTTACTGAGGTGGACAGTGGGTGAGAGTGTCTCCTGTGAAGCTTTGCAGTTGATCAAGACTAGGAGGAGTCTTGGATGACCAGGCACTGTCATTCAGAGGGACCTGGAGAGGAGCTCACAGAAGTGGCATGAAGTCCAGCAAAGTGGAGCAAAGTGCTGCCCTTGGGCAGCAGTAATCTTGTGTGCCAGTAGCTGCTGGGGACAGCCAGCTGAAAACAAGCTCTGCAGTGGAACACCCTGGTGTCCTGGTGGATGAGAACATTGCCATCACGCCCAGGGACATGAACTTTCCCCTCAGATCACCAGTGGTGAAACACATCTGGTTGCTGTGTCCAATTCTGGCTCCACAGGACAAGAGATATGACAAGAGGAAATGGGCACAATGGAAATAGGGGACATTCCAGTTAAAGGTAGGGAAACACGTTTTAGAGCAGAAATGATGGAACACAGGAACACATTTTCAACAGAGCTTCTGAAATCCCTTTTCTTAGAGGTATTCAAAACCTGTTGGGACCTGGATCTGAGCACCTTGCTGTGGCTAGCACTGCTCTGACCAAAGGGTTGGACAAGACAATGTTCTCCAGAGGTGCCTGGTGCAGCCACTCTGAAAGTCTGTGATTCTAAAGCTCACACATCAGAATCCCCAGTCTCTAGACCTGAAGACAGTTGTGCTTTAAAATTTGCTTGCTGATTTGCTTTACTTTTGTTTGATTGTCAAGAGAATACAACATGCAAAGTACACTACTGGGATAGTGTTTGCTAAAAACTTGTACAACCTCAGGCTAATAAGGGTAACAAAAGTAGGCAGTGGTGGAAATCACGAGCTGGCAGTTTTACAAGGTGTCTACTGGAAAGAAATTCTTTATAGGTATTTCTTGAACATTTTCTTGGAATTCTGTGAGGTAAGTTTCCTTTCTTCTTATGCTTTTAGACAGATGTACAAACTGCTTTGAAGCCAACCATACTGGAATTAATAGTTTCTTCAAGCCATTATGGACTTGATTTTTTTTTTTTTTGGCATTTTTTCTCTTAGAGACCTCTTTAAGAGATTTAACTTTGAAGCCTTTGTCCCTTTGAATGTTTTTTTCTTCAGCAGCAATTTGTAACTCCCAGCATCCCCTTTCTACTGCAAATATGAATGTAAGTCCCTACATTATTCATTCTTTCTAAAGTGAGAAGGGAGAGTTGTAAACTGCTGAATTACAACCTGCAGTTGCCAAGAGGCAGGAACAACTTAAGAGCAATTTAATTGTAGATGTTTTCCTCCTTTCCCTTTTAACTCTTTCCTCAGGGAAGGATAAACACTACAGGCAGTTGAATAGTAAAGGAGCTGTTCTGCAGACAGAGACAAGGAGGCATAGAGAAGGTCAGAATGAACTTTGCAGCTAGGAGAACAAAAGACAGCCAGAGTAGCAGACCAACTTTAGAAGGGCAGGAATTTCAAATTAATTCATTGAGTTACTCTGTTCAAGTTTGCTAATGTGATTGACTTTACTCACAAAAAAAAAGTAAATTTCAGTTTAACATTGGGAAGGAGTTAAAACTGTTGTAATTTTTTAGTGGGTGAGATTCCATCAATGCCCTACATTACCCCAGGCAGCTCAAGACAGAACTTTGTGAAGGAAGCAGCTCTGAGGTAAAGGCAAAATGAAGCTACCAGGGGGTCATTATATAATCAAAGCGTATGGTGTCAGGCCAGTTGATGTCATAGTTACAATTTTAGTGATATTTATGCTTGTCTGAGAATGTCATCATGGAAAGTAAGTGCTATTCTGGAACAGCCTAAAGAGAGTGCTGAATTGGTGCTCCTCCTCTTAGATGCTTTTTTAATCCATTCCATTATTTGTTTATGATCATGGGAACTTCTTATGTGGTCCCTCACCATTGTTTCCACAGTAATAATGTGGATGCAACCTGCCTCCTAACACTGAACCTCTACAAGATGTCATCTCAAAAAAATTGTGTCAGCTGGAGAACCTTAGGCAGATTACATCCACAGTCAGCCACAGCACTGCAATCCTGAGCTGCACATGCTGCAAACTGCAGTGCCTGAGAGCAGGGTGAGCTGTTCCTGTTGACTGAAAATATTCTGCTTTTTATTTAGAGTGAGGAGTGGTTGAAAGGGACTTAGAGAAACACTTATTTTACTGTCCTTCATAAGCTTCATGTTAAAAGCAGTACAAAGCTGCAACCTTTTTACCTTGGTATGCACTACTAGAGAGGGACAAGCCTTGAAGCCAAGAGCTTTTGTGAAAGGCATGAATAATATTAATCCTATTACCATGGTTGAAATAGAAGTGGGCATATTCTTCTGTTGTTGGCTTTGTGAGAATGCCTTATTTTCCCCTACCAGCTTGAACAGTGTGTACTGCCAGCTAAGGGTGACCCTTCTTTTGTGCTCATGTTCCACGCCGTATCTGTGAAGTGTACAGGCATTTTTGCATGACATTGCATACTGTATTTTTGCAATTCCTTAATGCAGCTGAAAGGAGGATGTTTACAAAGAAGATGTAATGTGGGCACCTGCAAAAAGATTTTTCTTAGGTTCTCTGCCTGAAGTGGAAGGTCTACAAACCTGCCAACGCATTTATTCACTATATAAGGTGTCTGCCATTTTTAGATCATCTGGTTATACCTCTGGTCCTCAGAGTCTGGTAACAAAAATCAAAATATGTAAAGTCAAAATATACACAAAAATATCTTTTTTAAAATATTTTTGTTCTTTTCTCTTCCTTTTTGTCTAATTGGATTCTCATATACCATTCTGTGAAGTAAAGTAGGAATGCAAAAAAAACGCTGGCTCTTTTTTTTAAATCTCTCTCCTTTTGATGACAAGTCAAATATGGAGTCATTTGTTTTGTCTGAACTACAAGGCAGTGTTAGCCTTGAGCTTGTTTCCTCTGGAGAAGAGAGATTATGTAACAGCACTAAATGGTGTTAGTCTGGACAAATAAATAAACCTGGCTCACTCCTTGAAGGTAGGCAGGGATGAATATATAACAATAGCAGGTAAGGGAGGCTTTTACTATGACTGGCTGAAATTTACTTGTAGAGCCACACACTGATGGTGTTACTTTAGCTACCTTCTCCTTTCCTCATGAAGAAAACCCTCAGAAAGGTTGGATGTTTGCAGCCATTTGGCCAAAAGCTGGGATTGTCAATATACTCTACTATAATCAACTCTGCAGTGTTGTGACATGAGTTTTTGTGGCCCTTGCAAGTTGAACAGGTTTTCTGAGGAGACTTCTCTTTAATCACCTGAATCTCAGGAGTTTTTTGACCATTTTATCCCCTCTTTATGTGTCTTCCCAGCCCTTCCCACCCCATTGTTCTGTGGTTCCATGTGTACTTGCCTTAATATGGCTGACGTACAAACCTCTGGGGAACTTATTCTCAGACTGTACAAAATCAAGGCCATGTAAGACAGAAACAAAACCTACTGTTGTTAACCACTTTAAATAATAAACTGTAAATGTTCCATGGCCATTTACAGTCTCTATCCATAAAGAGTTTTATAACTTCTAATCCTATTACTAAAGAAACCTGTCATTTTACTTGAACAGACCATTCAGGGAGAAGAAATACTTTTCTTTTGAATTCATATTTCCATTCTGCAAAAACCTCAAACACAAAATTTTCCT